TCAAAACCTGGTAGAGGGGCGGGACATTTGGTTGAAATATACAGGTTCAAGAGTGAAAATGGTCCAGTGTTCATGGTTTGCTCTTAAAGAGCTGATTTTAGACACAATATTAGACTGATTCCTTCGTAGTGATCGCATAAAGATTTTTGTCTTAAAATAGAACGACAGGTGATCGAGTCTACTTAGGCGGGATTAAATCCAGTTCCCGTATCCTAGTCGATATCTTAGTAAATCTAACTTTCAGAACTGGAATGTTTCCATCTTGGTGTTCCTCATTTTTGCCCTCGAGTAAGTATGGATTTTTCAATTCCATAAAGAGTTGGAAGGCCAATGTTGATATCCCATCCAGACCGTTTGGTAACAGTAGGCAACTTGAGAGTCGTGGGAGATGAGGTAGACTCGTCTCAAAAGTGTTTCACCCATAGTTCCAATGTCCTGCGCTGAAATTGGATTATTTCCACTCTTACTAACACCCAAATTTTCAATACCGAGCTTTAGATAAATATGAAAATTTGTCTATTGTTCCTCACAGCCGTTACCTTTTCCATTTCATCTGGGTTCGCTACCCACCGTAACTAACGACCATCGCGTAGACCTTTCATCAGTCTATGTTTAGGTTGCCTTTGCTCCTCATCCTATTCCAAGCCTTATGGAATAGATTACAGAGCATCCCTCCCCTCAGTAGTCGTAACCGAAATACATTTATTTTCCCTGTTTTGGTTTAAGTAACTGGTAAATATCAATGCAATTTCACAGCTGTTTGGATAACTAGTCAACATACATGATGCTGCATTTCACTTTCATGACTGACTAATTTTTTTCTGGTTGTTCCAGACTTCCTCATCAATAAGCTGAGCCCCAAAGTCTTATTGATGTGACCTCTCTATCTCTATTAAGACAGACAGATGAATGCTTTCACTCGAGCACAATCAGTCTGAATATGTGCTCCATAATGAGCGCGTCTTTTGAGTCTCTGTAGCGATAGCTGATGTTGATATAATCCATTTACACATATTTTCGGGTAGATTTTTGGGATTACCATGTTAGATAGTGTCTTTCCTTGTGCTTAAATTTGATCCTTTTAAGAATAACCAGTTGTCCACGAAAAGTCGCACTAGACGGTTTTATTTATTTATTTGAACACATAGATAATGGTACAAGGAGGCACCAGATATATATGCGCCACACAAATCTCATTTGATTTGTGTGAGGGCTGTGATACTGTCCATGTTCCCAAACCGAAGGTGGTTTTCATACGAGGCCACACCTAGAGCCTTTGACCTAGAGGTCTGATCCACCAGGCAGTGGAGCATCGTAAGGAGATGCAGTCCCATGGTAGTCGGTGACCAATAATTAGTTCATACGCCATTTGTTCCCTCAGGATACTGGAGCCCATGTGCACCATTGGTTTCAAATCAGGATTTTCCAACTCCCCTAGAAGAACTCTCGGTACCCACCAACCCGGTTAAAGCGTCGGACACTCGCTTTTCGTCCTCTCAATTTCGTAATCAACACCCCCGCCACGAGAAGGTAGCGAGTAGGACTTCCCTGACAGAGGCTATATACACGTGGCCATGTAAGAGCATTTCGAGAGGGAGAGCGGGCTCTACCCACTCTCGGTTGTACCGGGGCATTTGAGGGACTAGACGGTACCGGCGTCTGTTCACTGAGCTGAGATAACGTAAGACGCACCTATGTATCTTATTTAAACTGCCTACTTGAGTCTGCTACAGTTATGACGTTAGAGTTTGACGTTTTGTAGGAGAGAGGAAAGCTTTCCAGAGAACATCCTTTATGTAACCCGAGCGACAGTCAGTGGGAGCGTAGGCAGAGACGAAGAAAAGACAATAGTATTTGTTCATATCTTCCGGCGTTTTCATCCCCCCTGTCAAGTCAGATGATGCACAAGAGAACCTGTCCTGCTGCATCCAAGCTCAATGTTATATCAACACCGGAGAGGTCACGAAAAGTAGCAGCCAAAACCCTAGATATATGGGAGGTATATCGTGGCGGTTTTCGATATCGACTAAGTGGGGTCAAATGAATGATCACGCTTGGATCCTATATGCTTGTTTTGTAGGCAGAGCATACACCGAAACCTAAGGATTCGGGTCCCAGTTAGAGGAACCTGTTGTCTGACTCTAATGTTTGAAAATTGAAAATTTCAACATGTAGTTTAGGACGCAGTTTCAAGAAACCGGAAATAAAATTTTGTGAACTCGAATTTTTAGCATTGGTGGTACTTGGTGACAGTCGTATTGAAAGGGCCGACAGTGGAAATAAAAATATTCAATGTCATACACAAAGTAGAACTTAGCACACAAATGAAACGGTTCAAGTTGCTATGGCACACTACCACAACGGTGTAACGTCATAAAGTCATCATCATCAAGGTTGTTAATCTTCATCGACTGAGATGGTTGGGCCACGTGTTACGTATGCCTGAACACCGATTACCACGTCGTGCAATGCTAACGGGTGTTAGAGATGGTTGGAAGATAATTAGGGGCGGCCAAACCAAAACGTGGCATCAGTGCTTGAAGACACTAACCTCTAGTCTGAGCCATGTTGGTAGATGCAGACTACTTGGTTGGGGTCCGCGTGACTTTCGTAACCGATGGTTGGAGACTCTTAGTGACATGACTCAGAATCGATCACAATGGCGTCGGTGCATACACTCCCTGTCTTCCCTTAAACTCTGAGATTAAAATCGCTTCATATCTTTCTTTCTACGAACTAATTCTATATTCCAGTACTGTATCCTTATATGCAATCTTTCTCCTACATATTACCACCTTTAACCTAACCACTCCTATGAATCCGGTGTTCATTTTGCTGTGCTAATGAGGTATGGCAGCCTGGACCGATGCATATATGTGCCTGGTCCTACGTTGTAGCTGACTGACTGACTGACATCAAAACAAATCCTAAAGTAGTATAGGTAGTAACAGCGTCAGTAAAGGTAGAAAAGACCATTAGGAAGTTTGAGAAGTAACGGAGAGATTTGATAGTGGACAAGAGGATTTCGAGTGCGATTAGATGATGAGAACATTCGTAAGTTTTCCTTGGGGACATCAAAAGGAAACTGAGTTGGTAGTGGCTGTATACACTTCAGCGTGAAACCGCAGGGCTCAAAGAACAGCCCCTTGAGGCTGGCCACGCATGGTTTTCCTATGAAAACTTTTGATGTATCTTGATGCAACTGGAGACTGAAATCTGTGAGGTAAAGTGGCGTGTGACATGTTTAAAGTTAGCCTTTTCTAAACCTTTCCTTCCGTTTTGAGAAGGCAGAAGGGAAATACTTTATTGTCGCCACAATCTAGTACAGTCAGTTGTATGGCTCTGCCTTTGGACCTTGATTAGCGGCTTTTAGTTTCAGTCAGTCAGTCAGCTGCAACGTAGGACCAGGCACATATGTGCATCGGCCAGGTTGCCATACCGCATCAACACAACAAGATGAACAGCAGATTCATAACAGTGGTTAGGTAAAAGGTGGTAATATATAAGAGAAAGATTGCATATAGAGATATAGTACAAGCAGAAAGAATTGGTTCGTAGAAAGAAAGATATGAAGCGATTTTAATCTCAGAGTTTAAGGGAAGACAGGAAGTGTATACACCGACGCCATTGTGATCGATTCTGAGCCATGTCACCAAGAGTCTCCAACCATTGGTTACGATAGTCACGCGGACCCCAACCAAGTAGTCTGCATCTACCAACATGGCTCAGACTAGAAGTTAGTGACTTCAAGCACTGATGACACCTTTTGGTTTGGCCGCCCCTAACTTTCTTCCAACCATTTCCAATACCGGATAGCATTGCACGTCGTGGTAATCGGTGTTCAGGCATACGTAACACGTGGCCCAACCATCTCAGTCGATGAAGATTAATAACCTCATCAACTGATTTACCATCCTTTCCTAATACCCTGCGTCTAACCTCACTATTACTTACCCGGTTATCCCAGCAGACGCCAGCAATATTTCTTAGGCATCTGTGGTCAAATACTAATAGCTTACGAGTGTCTTCTACTCTTAATGGCCATGTTTCGCTGCCGTAAATTAAAACAGAACGGACTGCCTCGCAGTATACTCGTCCTTTAATTGATAGACGGATATCTCGCCTTCGCCACAGGTGACGTAAGTTGGCAAAAGCCAAACGAGCTTTTCGAATCCGTGCTGAGATTTCGTCCGATACCAACCCATTAGGGTTGATCAGACTTCCAAGATAAGTGAAGTTGTCAACGCGTTCGACTACTTCACTCCCTATCCTTAGTTCAGGTGTTAACGCAGACCAGTCCTGAAGCAACAACTTGCGTTTAGAGGGAGAGAAGCGCATTCCAAACATCCTGGCATTGTTGCTCAGTGCTACCAGAAGACTCTGCATTATGTCAGCGTCTTCACCAAACAGGACTATGTCATCTGCGTATTCTAAGTCGATAAGTGGACCTCCTGGAAGGAGATCAATACCCGAGAACTCAGTCGACGAGAAAGTTATTTCCATCAGTAGATCTATGATGAAGTTAAACAAAAATGGGGAAAGTGGACATCCTTGACGGACACCACTTGAGGTTGCAAAACTAGATGACAGTTCGCCATAAGCTCTCACTCGACTAGTAGTGTTCGAGTAAAGAGCCTTTACAAGGTTTATGTACTTCTGGGGTACGCCTTTCAATGACAGACACTGCCACAGAATCTCGCGGTCTACCGAGTCAAATGCTGCTTTTAAGTCAAGAAAGACCACCATCGTTTAGTTTTAACAGTATCCAATTGACCTGGTTGGTATGGCAGGACCTGAAACGATGTCTTCCATTCACTATAACTCTACTGAGATATTACGATAGACAATCCCGACCACCAAACCAAGGTAAACTAAAGATACTAAACTAGTTTTCTTTGAAGTATGACTCATAACATTCAGTTAGTTTTTGGGACAGAAAACGAGGGAAAACTTCAGCAAATATAAAGATTACCATGTATATAAAATGAAAAGGCACTAACCTTTTAACGATGTCAGAATTGTACAACCTATTATTTTTAATTCTATTCAAACGACTGATACACGAGCTGTCATCAAAGCTTTTTGAACGGCGACAAGATTGCGAGTAAGATCCACTATTTTTTAATGATTTCATAGAAAAACCACCCGAATTATTAGATTTTGAAAAACTATATTCAGATTCGCATTTGTTAATCAGTTTTGCACCTTCTGTATTTATCAGACGTTGTACATTTGGATCTATAGATAATATGTTAGTACATTCGCGCCCCAGGTTGTTATCATCATCGGGCAGTAAGTCCAACAATCGGAGTCTAGATTTCGAAATTTCCGCTGAAATTTGTAATTCAAGTGGAATTTGATGAGGCCTGTTGGGAACGAAACTAGAATTTGGACTAACTGGAGGAGCATTATTTGAAATAGCTTCCGAAGTTTTACAGCAACAAATTTCATGTATATGAGAATTGCCACATTCAGAAGTACGGTTGGAAACCTCTTTTGAATCCGTATAGGTGGAATCTGATTTGGTGAGAGTAGCCATATTTGAAGTTTTTAGAGGTGCGGTTGCTGAGTCATCATAGTGTTGTTCCAACTCTGTAACAATTGACAGTTTATTTACGTAATTTGATATCCCCATGTTTTGTCGACGCAAATACGCAGTAGCAGGGTCTGATGCATATAGAGGAATTGAAGAACTATCTGGAAATTCGATTTTGTCACCCTGAATTCTATTTTCTCTTTGCGATAAAGAGTCAACAGAGTCGGAATGTTCGTAATGGCCATTAACTGCACAGGCTGACTGATCCTTACATTCCAATTCAATGACATCTTGCGAAGTGTTATCGCGATTCCCACAAGAATCGTAAACTGGTTCAGAACTGCGTATGTGAGTAGCTGCGAAAGGAACTTGACTATGAACACGAAGACCATTATTCCAAAAAGAGAAAAGATTAGTTCCTGCAAACCCATTACTCAGAACCATTGAGTGAGCCTCTAATTCATTCTCCAGGGCATCTACTTCCTTATGAGAGTGTCTGGAATGTGTGTCGACAGAAGCACCGACATGTGCAGAGTCATGTGTGGCTCGTGGGAACACAGATGATTCTTTATCTTCTGTAAACAAAAATAAAAATGTCAACTGACTATTAGTGTAAAAGAAATTCAACCCGCTTCAGAAAGTGTCCTTGTGTCAGGAATAATTACATATGCAACTCAGTAATCTTTACATTGCTAGCTAATCCAGTTAGACATATTGATGTAAATCGTATATATGCATTTATTTACTGACTAATTTATATCACCTTTTGTCTAGTTCAATATATTCTAATTTGACTAATGGCCAGATATGAAATATAGTGTAATTAGGATAGTTTTGAATCGATGGTGAAAAGTTGTTGGATTAGTTGTGGACTTGAGGTGGGTGCATAAACAAATTAACTAAAATCTCACTCTCTTCCTTGTGTCAGGCAACAGTAATCTTTGATCCACTATACAATAGCAAGTAAATAGTCAGATCCACACTTATAGTAATTAACAGTTTTCAGAAGTTATAAAACGTAGATGTACCAGTATTTTATCAAGACAATATGTCCCGAAATTTACTACGAGAAAGTGACTAGTAACAAATAAGTAGAATTTGAAGAGCTATTTATTCTCTTATCTGAAAATACTACTCTTTTAAAGAAAACAGAATCCCACCTTAAAACTGTTAAGGCTACCGAAAACTTTAAATGTAGTAGAATAGGAATAATCGTTTCCGTTAATACCACAGTACAATAGAATTCTCAGCATACCACCAATCTAAACTCCTACAACGGTCCGTAAATAGTAAATTATGACACAATGATTTAAGGAAACCGAATAATAAAAAAGTAGGCTTCAATACGTGAATCGAACGGTTGGAAAGCAGTGTCATGAACAACTACTACAATCTTTACTATCAACCATATAAAGTAACCAACATATTTATCAGTTTATTTCCTGCTTAACGGCAACTCATTACACAGTAAACCTGAAGTAACATAGTATACCATGCATATCGATGAACTTATTGTTGAAACATTGGTTAATAACAGCGCGAAAATCAAAGGTAGCATTAGGCAAAGAAAGCAAGCTACGAGAGACCCAGTGATGACAGATAATATAGGACAGTTGTTTGAAACTATGATTGAAAGCAGTCAACTCCTCATTCAGTAACTGTGAGATCGATACCAAGCCTGCCCCATCTCTTAGTAATGTTGAGCACTAAAACTAACTTGAACTGAGGGTGTAACCGACTTCTACAAGTCAGTTTTAACCCTCACATTTAGTGTAACACATAACCAGTTAGCTGGTAAATGAGTTAATGAAGTGGTAACCTGTGAACTGTGCTATATTCTACTCTACGTATGAATGATCACTGCCAGTGATCATCGTGAACTCGGAAAGGTGTTTCAACTAAAAAATAAAAAGCCCAAACGAACACCACCTGACGCAAATTTTTCACAAAACAACTCACTTCAGACTTTGACGAGACCACGTGTCTAACCACAACATTACATAATAAGACTTTCTAAGTTGTTGATACGAAAAGTGAAATGTGGTCATGTTAAAAACTATAACTATAGTCGAAAGCTGATATGTTTAATTTCCAGGAATTAATGCAAATTTATGTATCACAAAGATATACTTAGAACCCTAAGCTAATTAGTGATAAACTTCTGTAACACTGATTAAATAACCACATGTTCCTTGCCAAAAACATCTCAATATATGGAGAGATATCAGTATACGTCTATACTAATGCGAAAATAAATATATTTGTCACATTGCTAAATAAGGTTTGATTCTCAAACTACCACAGAGAAGTCAATGCAAAATTTCTGGAATAATTTTTGCATGGAATTACATTTGTGAAAATCGCAGAGATTGAGCTGAGTTATTTCAAACACAGCCAGAGAATCACATTCAAACCTCTTCAAATAAATAATTTTCAGAAAACACCTCTTAAAGCACTGTCCAGAACGAATTTTTCACTTAGTTTTAACTTCAACAGGAATATATAGTCAGAGAAATGCGAATAAAGTAATGCTGGTGAGTTCTAAAATACAATCCCTTCCTGATAGGTTTATCACTTTAAATGATAGCTGGCACATAATTTAACACGGAAATAAGGCGCATCCTAATCCTAAAATCCCAACAAATTAGTAAGTAAAAAGTTTGTTTATAAGTTCACAGAAACCATTCATATAACAATGTAAGAAATAATTTTAACAAAACTTACCAGTACCTTTTGATATGAAACATGACAAACACTTGATTCTTTTGTTTGCTAAAGTCGTAACAGCTTTCTCGCGTACAAACGACCTTTTTTGAAGCTCACTAACCCAGTCAGGGATAGCTTTCAAATGACAATCGTGTACAGAAAACCGACCATAGGACCACTGCTCCACGGTTTCATGTATCCGAGCCTTACGAAATCTTGAAGCCGGTTGCAGTGGTGGGAGTGACGCTGCAGCCATAGCAACGACGTCCGATGTCAAATGGTTGTTTACAGACACAGTTGACGCTGTGTTGCCCGATGATGTTGATGGGTGTAGGTGATGCAGACAAGTTATTGGTTGATTGTAGCTACCGTGTCTGGAATGAGGAGATAGACCAATATGATATGTAGGATGCAGTACATTTGTTAAATTTACCCAGTTTGAAGTATTTGGAGGATCCGAATAATTATTATTGACCATATTGCATATTGACTTGGAGTACGACACGTCCGAATTTATTCGAAACCCGTGAGGGTCAGGTATTGTTCCTTGATCACGTAGATGATACGCGATGTTTAGGTTTTGCTTCGAAGATGGATAGTAATCAACATGAGGCGGAGATTCTGATGATGACACTATATTCGACATGATAGGGTTTATTGAAACTAGGTCACATGGGTCACGAGAATATGCAGGGTAAATAGATTCACTCTGGAAAGGTTGGAGGCATTCTGAATTTCTAGGATGTCCAAAATTCGGAATTGTTATGGGAGATAAACAATGGTTTTGTTGATAGCCATCTTGATACATAGATGTGAACTTTTTACCATAAACTTTGTCAGCAGAATCATAAGGCCTGAAACGACCATTCAATGGCTTTACAAATGACTGAGAGTTTGTAGATGGATGGAACTAGAAAGAAAAACAATATTGTCTAAGCTTTTTGACGACAGTTATTGTCCTTAAGATTAATAGCTTGTTTGTAGCCGATCTAATGAGTCATGACCTAACTTCATTTGTCTTAAAAAAAGTATATATATATATATATATATATATATATATATATATATATATATATATATATATATATATATATATATAGTGAAGCTTGACTGCAAAAGAATCGGCCGCATGTTAGAATAGAAGTATTTTTTGAGGTTCCACTATCAGGTAAATTGAACGAGAAGCATGCAATTTCATTGTTTTATTAATTTACATTACCATATTCGTGTTTAACTACTGGTTGACATACGGAAGAATGTCCTAAATATCATATACTTTAAATTGAGGTTATTTCAGCTCGAACTGAAAAAATGGCGATTTGAAATAGTGTGTTCAATGCATGCATAGAATTTGGAATCTTGGCTTGAACTTATCCCGAGTGCTAAGAGGCCTTCAGGGTATAACATCTGTAAGATATCTCTAACTTGAAATAACTTACCTGGCTTATACCACACTAAACTGATTTAACCTGATACATACCAAAAGCACATGTAAGCAGTAAAACACTAACTACTACAAACCAGAACTTTATTGTTTACATTTTTCCACACGTGACAGGTTTGGCTTTCAGATCAATTGACAAGAATTAATTTACTCGTTGTTTATCCCGTAGCAAGTTATTCAGTGACAATAATATAGTAGATTCGCTTTAAAAGACATAAAGTAAGATATCCACGTTTTTTCAAGATCGAAAATATTCTTTCCATAAATCTCTCAGAAACATTATTAAAAACACATCACACATGAACTAAAGGCATCTCTGATCAATATGGCTATTTGATAGTTAAACTGTTGAATACAAATATTGTTAGCAAGTGATTTACTTAAATAGACTTACCTGACAGATGTCTCCACCATTTGATGGTTTAACTGGGGTTGGAATTACTGAACAAGAGCGAACGTCAAAACAGTTTTGGGATAGTGTCCTTGAATCTCTCATTATATTTCCATCATCGTTAATTTCAATATCATCTTCTGGGTCATCAAAGTCTTCAAACTCCTCAGCTTCGATAGATCCGGATCCATAAACATCATGAATAGCTTCATCACACATAGTGTTCTGAGGCATTAAAACACCATCCACTTGACTGAAGTTCGAGAAAGGCAAAGTTTCGCAAATTTCTGTGCCATTTCTTTCAGATACATTGCTATCTATACTTGTTGCACGTTGTTTAGTCCTTTTGACTTTTGATAAGTGTTTTACGCTAAGCAGCATAAAACCTGAACCAGTTTCTTTTGATGAACAGTTATCTGTTGAGATCAATATGATTCCTCGAAAACAAAACTTACGTGATTGACTATGGGCACTCCGGGTACCATTGTGAATATCTGGATTTAGAGGGTCCTTTGAGTGACACTTATTGACGTTACCTTCCAAATCGCTCATGGATTAGGACTTTCAAATAAGTATAACTGGATCAGTGAAACAGACCTCAGCTAATAAGTGCTTCGGTCAGTTTTGACTGATTTTTTAAAGAATATGCTTTTTAGTGAGTGATTTTTAGACAAAGAATGGGTATGAAACATTTTTCCCTCGTGATAGCTGAAAAAACTAGAAACAGTGGACATGGAGCCGTCAAACCACCCGCCGCTTCAATTTTGATTGTTGTACTCGAGTTTTATTATCTAACGTATATTCAAACAAACTTCGAATTTTAAAAAAAGTGTCAAGTAGGTGATTCTTGACGACTGCATAATTTTCAAATTTTAATTATGCTTTCTTACTGACGGTATATATTTATACGATGGCTTGCGACACGGTAGTGTAGAGTGACAGTTGCTTATTGATGGACAACCTAATATAAACCATATTTTATTTATTTACTTATTTACTTAATGGCTTTATTCAGTATTATAATTCGGCACAACATAGAATTCTCAGCACAGGGTATTTCAACAAGTTTTTCCTACACACAAAAAAAGAAACAAAGAAAAAAATGAAAAAAGGTTTAAAAAACCCGAAAAAGTGTACAACTTTTCAAATTAGAGACATGTTAAGAATGCAGGTTATTGACTAATTTAACTCTAACAATCTGTTCATCACAGACTATATTTGTTAGGTAAGGTATTATAGAACGTTTATACATTTGCTTGCGTGCATGGATTTTTATGTAATTACGTCTCGTTCTGCCAGAAGATATACAAAGAGAAAGATAAAAGTGAAGATGGTTACTATCTGATAAAATAACACCTGACAGGAGTTTGCATGATTTTAAATGTCTATCCACAACCATATTAATTATGACCTCGAAAGATTCACTACACATCTTACTAACTGCCTTCAGCACTCTCCGCAATACAGCAAATTCATTTCTCAAAAGCCCGGGAAAGAATAATGGAGAACAGTAAAGAATAATAGGTAATATACAAGAATTGACAAATTGTAAGAGTAAGTGTCGACTAATCCCAAGAGCATGCAATCTCTTTATGTAGTATATCAGACGGAAAACCTTCTTCGATAACAATAAAATGTGGAGAGACCAAGAGAGATCGGAGGAAAAGGTAACACCAAGATCTTCGACACTGTGTTTATCAAAGAGTCTCCGATGGTACAAGCATTATGAGATCTCAAAATGGTGTATGGATGCCGTTCATTTCTCATGCTAAAGTTAACAGCTTGACATTTAGATGGATTAAGCATAAGACCATTACCAACAGACGAAAAATCAATACGAGACAAAATCTCATTCATTTCTATGGGATGTAATGAGGAAGAAATAGTGAGGTCATCCGCATATTACACAAAAATGTTTTCGATGGAAGATTGCAGATCATGCAGAAAAAAGAAAAAAGAAGAGGTGAAAGAACAGCTCCTTGTGGTACACCTTCGTTAGACAGTAGAGACTCTGAACACCTTCCTCCAAATATAGTGTACTGTTCCCTTCCAGAGTGGTAAGAACATAGACAGTTGGTTATCCAGCTGTCAGTGTTGACGCTGATTAACATGTTAAGTAAACGTTGTCTTGGTATAGTATCAAAAGATGAAGTATAGTCCAGAAAAGCGCATCGAACATAATTCTTACTGTTTTCTAAGTTGAACACTATATTGTGATGCAGAACAGCAATAGCATCAAGGTGTTTCTTTTGCATCTGTAATCAAGCTGATACGGATCAACATGCTCTTTTATAGCAGGCTAAAGTGGAAGTATTAATAATTTTTGCATTGTTTTGAGGAAGGGTGAAGTTATTTCAGTAGGTCTAAATTTCACATTCTTATCACAGATAATTTATTGGGTATAGGGATTATCTTCATCTTTCTCCACATTTTCGGTATGAGATTAGATGAGAAGGACCTGTTAAAGATAGTTGTGAATGGATAACATAGGACGTTGGCACGTTTTTTAAAAAGGATTTTTGGGATACCATCAGGTTCCAAACATCGGGATGAACTAAGTGACTGGAGACATCTTCGGACATCAGTTTCAATGAAACTAGTAACACATCTATTCTTTAAACCTGTGGATGAAAGGAGCATTACATCATATGACTGACGCACAAAAGACTTATTTAAGTCACAAACATTCAGTTGGTTATCGCTCCTACTCTCTCTGTCACCTGTAAGTTCTTCTAAAGGGTTTTCACATACTTGGAGATTTTTGCAACACAAGAGTTTTTGAGTAAACATTGAGTTCAGACGTCTAATCTCTAGATTTATCAGACCATTTAGCTTGCGAAATTCATTACAGTTTTTCTCCTTGAATATTCTTTCTTTCACCCTCCGTAGTCGTTTCAGTTGTGAAGATGTAAGTCGGTGAAAACTTACAAAAATGGTTTAAATGGGGCAACAAATATCAAAACAGAACTTAAGGTAACGGGTGATAACATCAGAAGTGAGTCATTTTTAAATAATTCTCAGTCAGTCGTATGAAACATGTTTTCAGATTGCAGATATTTTTTTCTGAATAATTCCTATTTTTGACTTTCTTGATTTAATGTAAGAGTTTACTCTTCCCGTGCTTTCCATATACTTTAGGTAGAACACGAATTATACAGTGATCCGAGGTAGACAATGGAGCACGTTTACGAGTCACATATATGCCCACATCATTAATGAAGACGAAATCTAAATGAGCATTCAAACGTGTAGGGAAATCTACTACATTTTGTTGACCTAATGACGTAAGGAAGCTACTGTCACATGAATTGAAATCACCACATAAAACCGAAAGTGAGTCACTGAAGGCAGTAACAGCAAACTAGGTAAATTCACCAGCGAAAACAGATGGCGCATATGATGTGCAGTCTGAGGTCACGTAGATATTGGTAACATAAACATATTTGTATTTGTTCAGATGTTTTGGACATCTTAGAGTTAGACAGTCGATAAAGTCATATGAAAACTTAAAGCACACAAACGAAGATTGACACCAGTTTGTGGTTACAAACGTAGCTACACCACCGCCACACCTCTTTTTATTGTTTGATCGATCCTGACAATAAATTTTGAAGTCACGTAGTGATAATAGGCAGTCGTCCAGTAAATCATTTAACCAAGATTCTTGAATTGAGATGACACCACAATTACGATACATAGGCTTTTCATAAAAGCGCCTGTATTGGTTAGGCGATTAATGGACATAATGAGAAGTTAAAACAAAATGAAAAAACAGACAACTTGTTGAAATAATTAGATGGCTGAAACAGGTAGCCCAGATATTTAAGCACGCCGTACTTAAAATTTCTCCCCCGATTTTTTGTTGCTGGGTGGTAGTTTCACTTTTCCTGCACCCAGTAAAGTTCGTCTAGCCAATTTTCTGAAGTACTTAGAACGATGGACAATTTAATGATAGGTTGTCTTTGTTTCCTCATTTCATGAGTGAAGACAAGAGGGAAAGAAATAGCCTCCGATAACGCATTGGAGCAAACCAATGACTTACGTTTTACTTTATTCTTTGGTTTCATCTGTTTTTGCAGTGCTTGTGAGAAGCACATATATGGTAATGTGGTTAAAATAAAAGTTGAAAATATCTACCTAGGAGAGTGGTTAGGTTGGCTGGAATAGCTTTCTAGTAAAAGCAGGCGAGTAAAGCGAGGAAAATTTTAGTATTTCTTCTACTGACTGTTGATCATTAGAAAATACCCTATTACGTCACCGTGATTGTTCTCTGGTAAATCTAGCTTTCTAGAATGTGAGTAAAATTATTATTTTTTAGCCTATCATAGGATTATCCGCTCTATTCTTCTACCTTAACGTGTCTACTCCAACCCACTGAGCTGATTTTACGCCTCGTCATGACGAGCTGAATTCCACAAATAAATAGGAATTTATCAGTTATTATTGCAAATCAGTCAGAACATTGTCATTTACCATGATACTCGAAAACATTAACCACGAACCATCCACAACAAGATTTACTAGAGGCTGAGATCGTTGCGAAAACTGCCGAGCATTGCTGAAACCATAAGATTCAATTTAAAATTAGAAACAAATTGACTTTAAAACGTTTGTAGAAGAAATATTTAGCAACTCATTTAAGAAGGGGTCAGACTTACAGTTCTCTTTTCAAACACGTTAAATATTTCAAGCATTCTGCACATGAAAGTTTTTGAATTCTTTCCAGCACTAGTGCACAAAAAGAACCATCATCATAGCTAGACAAGCACCAACATTAAAACAGTTCCGGAAAATTAAACGTCATGGCCTGAATTACCAGACCTAAGGCCGTACGTAAATTCGTGACCACTAGGGTCTGCTGCCTTGAAACGACAGTTTCTTAGTGTTTCATTGTAATATACTGATTTTCACCCTCAGCTCTATCTACCTTACTAGAACACGTTTTTTATTTTTATCTCTCTGCACTAGATCTGAAAGCCAATTACTTCTGAGAAACGAGTGTCGTCACCAAATCACTTCTCATGCTCATTTCCAATTTAGTTCATTTAGATATGTGTTGTTTTAAAATGAACATTCTTTAGTGCAGAGCTTATAGAGTACTTCTGACAAATAACATACTTATTCCTACTTCGTAGAACACTTGGTAGCGTCCCACTGGTATTTATTGAGTTTGATTTCGCAAACAACAACTTGGTAAATGTTATGACGTCGATATCCTCCGGTTGTCTGTAATCGAAAAAGGGTTAGTTGTCAAAAATACATCTACCTTCTGTCATGAAGATTGTGAGGCACTTGTTTGTTAAAGTGTTGATATACAAGGGTTCTAAATACCTCATGAATAGAACGAATATCTAGACGTTAGAGAAATAATTTCGGGTTTCTCCCTAAAAATTAGTCTGTGAGCTCTCCCTGTCTAATCTTCAAGGTATTTCTGCAACCCGCGTTCAAATCATACAAATTCTGATTCGTTATAATAATTTACCTCATCTGTGTACCTTATTCTGGCGAGAAATCTCATCATGCGAGGGGAAATAAGCTAGTTGTAAAAATGTATAATAACTTGAATAAATGGCTTATGAATTGATCGATATTGGAACCTTTCACCACCAAATATCGAATAGCTTACGGTGGGTACGGAATATTGTACCTCCACATTGTTTATTTAGGAAACGTGAGGAGTAAAAGTACACTAAAATTATGTACGTTAGATGCAGAAAAAACACTTTATTTCTTGGAAGTCAATTAATAAACGGGCTTCTATTAGTTTCAT